GTCTAGGGCAAGCCGGTTTCCTCACGATGTTTTCCTTCACCGTTCGAGCGAGTTTAAAGCAATTATTATACAAAAATTTATATCCGTTAATTATTTATTTATTTAAATGTTTAAACAAAGTACTGCTGAAAGCAAGGAAATATCTCCCCTGATAACAAATTGCTAATTTAAACTGTAATATACAAATATTTATAATTTCAAATAAAGCTGAACTAGGGGCGGTTCTAGTGACCGGGTTATGTCAAAATTTTAATAAATGACCTATTATTTGCATACTCATAAAGGAAACACGCTATGTAATTTTAGCGAAATTGTTGTGGCGACGGCCAAACTTACAATCTACCACTTTATAATAGGACACTATGGGTCCGCTAGAACCGACAGACGTTGTCCTGTACACGTCTAAAATAAATAAATAACTAAAACTCTCGAACACACTTCAACACACACAAAAACTAGGAGTTATTTTGCCTTTCATAATAGTTCGAGAAAATATACTTTCTTTAAAAGTCTTGCTTGCTTTGGTTCATCCGATGCTCTCTAACAAAACCTTTTTAAAATACATGGATTAAATTTATTCATGTTAGGGAAAATGCAATATTGGAATGGTCATGGATCACAAGCCGTAAATATTTAAGCTAAGATTCACGACAGTTCAAAGTTATATATATTATTATACATTCTTGTTATGGTGGTTATAGTACAGTGCCCTATATAAAATTAGGACAATGTCCCTTATCGTAGTTCTCTATACTAAATTTCATCAAATTGCAGCAGCGGTTAAAGCGTACATTCTCAACATATACATATGAATTTCTATTTATAATCTAGCATACAACAAATTTTAATTGGTTTAATAGGTACCTTCATTAATTCTTTTGTGCAAATGTCCTTAATCGACTTCCGTCAAATTAGGTTGATAATAACAAAATCATTCACTTCACACAAATCATTTCACTAACACAATACTCTTATGTAAATATTTAATCAAGAATCCTAAATTTCTAGAACTATTCATCAATTGTCGATTACGTCCGTGGCGGGCAAAAGCCGCAGGCATACTGCCGTGATAACTGAAAACTGAAGCTTCTAACTGCATAGAATCGAATGCTTACGGGAAATATACAGTGGGTCACCTCTATCGGGCTGGGTTTGTTACAAAATGATATAAATTCACTTTAGACAATCAAATATTACATTATTGTTAAGTTTACAAGACTAATTTTTGGTTTTTAAAGCTGATTTAGATGAAACTATATTATTACTACATGATTACCGTAGAACAGAATTCATGTTCGTGTTAACGTAAAAGTTTGTGTATGGTTTCAGTTTTAGCTACTTCGGGAATTCCTTTTGACCTTGAGTCATATTGGCTACCCTGTAGGGATGTGAAAAAATAATCGATTTTTTACGCGATTTTTATATTTAAAATAATCGATTATTTTTATAATTGAAAATCAATCATAGTCGATTTTTTATGTGCCACCTCCCGACATTAAGTCTGGTCTTTTATAACCCGGACCTCGAACTATTAGGGATATTCGATATACAACGATGTTTACAATGCGATACATTGAATCCGATTCTTTGAAGATGTATTTATATACTCGATGCATTGATGTTTTTTTGTAAAATATCGAAAGGATTATAAAACCAGTTAATTTTACAAAAACTCAAGTTTGAATGGAACATTCTTAAACGTTATTATATATATATATTTTGATTATTCTTAAACGTCAATTTGTGTTCATAAATTCTATTGTTTATTTTTAATTTAAAAAAAACCATGAAAAATAAAATATTTAGGGTGTTTTTTTTTTAAATAAATTCAAAAATTAGGAAAAAATCGATTATTTATTAATCGATTTTTCACGATAAAAAAATAATCGATTAATAAAAAATCGATTTTTTTATGCAGAATGTCACATCCCTAGGCCTACCCGGCACCGCGGGCTTCTAAGCGATATTTTTTTAATATCCGATTGTATATGTTTGTTTTTAAGCTAATACTAATATAAATAAAGACAAAAAGGGTTAGTGTCTTATATTCATAAGCAAATTAATTACAATATACAACCTACTATTATATAACTAACGCAACGTGATTATTACTTTTTTATTGTCTTTAAATATGTAAAAATTGTATAACTTAATAGGTAAAATACTGAAATGAACGGCTTTAAAAAATATGTAGGACCTATCGGCAAAGTTTAATGTCAAAGATCAATATGCTTCAATTAAAATAACTGCTATTTTAACGTCAGATGTGATGTGATAAAACGGTCGCCAATTTATTTTTATCGAAAGCTTATTCGCGGTTAAAACAAAAATCTTATTAACATACCGTACCGAGAATTCTGGCTGCGTTGAATTAATATCGTAATAGACTTTGGTGAAAATGTTTAAGGCAAAAATATTAGATATAAAAATGCTTGTCTATTATTTTGCGTCAAATGAATAACATTTACTCTAATAACAGTTTGAGTAGAAAAAGCTAAAAACGGAAGTGTGAATAACCTACAAATAATACTAGCAAACTAAGTTCAGGAGACTTTGATCAATTTAGCGATTTTAAATGTGGCAAAGAGGTTTTATCATCTTGTAATTTAATACAAATTGTATTCGAAATCACCTCAGATTTATTGTAGGTGATTAAAAATTATTATTTATGATGCTAAGAACTCTGAACGCGGTGTAGCGTTATGTAGAGCATGTCCTCATAATCTTAAACAATTTTTAACGTACGTGTTCGTTAAACGAGCACGCATTTAGTACTTACCAAAGCGGAAAAAGGCATCCAAATTATCTTTGCGTGCACAGTTCACACATATTTCACAACACAACACACTTGTGGCCTTTCCAATCGAGTTTCGAGATAATTCCTACTTCATAGGAATTTTAGACCGGGCACGGCGAACACCCGAATGTATTTAAATCTGTAGCACGACTCGCGGCTATTTTCGTCCGCTGGGCCAGAGCACGGTAGCCGTAGTTATTGTAAAAATAAATATCAGGAAATTAGTTGGTAATTAAATGAATGACTTAAGACTACTATTTTTGTAATTATTTCTATAAAATATTTGCTGATGACCTTTCTTTTGTGTTAATAGGAAGAGAAAAACTACTGTAAAACTCAATTGATTAATACAATATTTCTCAAGTTTGAGACGTTTTTTTCAGACCTTATTGAAACAAATACATGAATAACGGTATTTGTGCATTTGTTAACGGAAATATGATTAATAGGCCGACCTGTTCGAATTCTAATAATCTATAAGGCGTCTCGGTACAATATTTATTTATTTTAAATTAATTTTATATCATTACAGGTTAACGCTAATGTAATAGAAAAGAAAGTTAGTAAAGTTTTCTACAGAAGATGTCATTGATAAGTCGGTTCCAAATAACTACATTGTCGAGTTATCATTATCAAGCGACGCGAACAATCATTTAATTTTTCACCTAGGCTATTAATAATAGAATAACAATTTATTTATTATGGAAAATAATAGTTCCACTTCATCAGGTCAAAAATATACAGGCAGTAATAAAAATAAAATACATACTCGATTTATGATTTTATTTTATAACTGATATATACAGACTGTTTATTGCTGGAATTTAGGCACTCTGGATTAAAAGGTATATATTTAAATAGTGTCCAGGCGCATACATTTACAACTTTATATTTTGCGGCCATACGTAGACTAAAGGTGTACATGTTGGTTACCATGGTAACCTTTTTGTTTTATACAGTACCTGTTAACCATAGTAAGACCGGGTTTACACGGCATTGTCCTGCACGTTTTCTTTGTATTCGTTTTTTTAATGTACGTTCACCCGGGTGTTCACATGGTAGATTTTCATTCGTGTAAAATACGAATAGCCACAGTTGTCACAGTGAGCGAGAACGAGACAGAGCTATATTATGTGCCACTTTAAACCGAATATAATGTTAAAGTTTATTGGATTTGCTTGACAAGTCCGTTGAGTATTCGTTTGAACGTATAAACGGTGTACGATATTTTGCAGTACAAACGCCGTGTGAATGGGTCTATGTAAAATACATGAGCCACTATTTATTTGTTAAGACGTATACTGCAAAAAAAGGACAGGACAATGCCGTGTGAACCCAGTCTAAGAATCACTGTTCCTTATCACCGTTTTTTTGACTAAAACGTAAAAATTACAACTGAAGTAAATTACAACCTTTTTTTGAATGACTTAAATTTTGGTGTTTGCGCCGAGCTTTCTATTAACAAAACACGGATAATATTAGATAAACATTCCAAATTATAACAAAATTATTATTTAAGTAAATTAAATAACAATATAATATGAAATATGAGAATTATAAGTGAATACATTGTAAGTTAAGGAATAGCGTCGCGGCCATTTTCCAAAAGCCAGCTGTCTAAAATGACATACTGCATACTTCGAGATTTTATTCTTACTTTGATTAGATATGTAGAAACAAGTTAATAGTACGTACCATTGAGATTGGATACAACTTCTATTTTTTTTTTCCTTTCCGGAGAAATATATCTAAATCAGTATTCAAAAACCTAGGGGGAAAGATGTTCGTTAACAACTTTGAAATCGTTGAATAAATACAGGAATATTTGACTATACCTAAAAACCAGTTGTTGAAAAACAATGTTAACTTTAATTGTTGACACGAATTTACCTTTAGCCGATAATCAATGACAGAAAATAACCCAACGCCATTACCATTTATTACAAATCAACACATTTTTACAATATCATTAAAATACAATAAATTATTATATTCAATCGAAATTATATTATATCACATATAAACTCAATTCGAAATCTACTAAACATAACACGAACCAAGAATTCTACTTACAGACTTTTCTCATTTATATACAATCACTTGGGGGATTAGCGCGATCTATTTATGACGTTATCCAACCAAGTTAAAAATTTAACTTGTACAAAAATTCTATAGAATTTTTTCGTACTGCTCATTGCAATCACTACTGACTTGTTACTCCCGTATGTTTTATATTATAGGAGTCGTCAGTTTCGACTGTGAACCCCTTAGTGACCCACACGCTAGCGTCTTTCAACGTACGCACAGCGTCGACGCCGCGGCGACGTGACGCTAGCGCTGGCCACGTGCCGAACGCTCCGGGATTACGCGGCGCCAGCGCAACGTTTTTCACGAACGCGACACCAGCAAAAAGCTTGCAGTACCCGGCCAGCGCTGGCGTCGCGTCGACGCTGTGAGGACGCTGACACGACGAAGATGCTCGAAAGACGCTAGTGTGTGTCTCTGAAACCTTACAAAGCGTATACCATGACATTCACAACTATGGTAAGCCATATATTGTCAACCATGGCAACAGACAGTCCGCGTTTCATAAGGTTTAACTATCGTTTCGGCATTTCATGGTTAGATTTCCAAATCCGACTTTTTTGAGTTTACTTATACCGTGACAAACTTAAGTTAAAACAATAATTTAAATAATTCAGTTTTAAGAATTATATTATGTATATCTAAAATATGTACATAATACTTAACGAATTTATCATTTATGATGGATAATATATATATGTGTATTAAATTAGCTTAACTATACAAAAAATTACAAATGCTATGACAGTAGCAATCTATATGGGCAATGAGTTGTTAGAAGGGCTTCAAAGGCAAATACTACCTTTTTGAGCATTGTAAAATACATCTTAATGCAAGCCCATAAGGGGCCGTTCAAGTATTACGTAAGCGGATTTAATGCAATTTATTCCCCCCCTTCCTTGTCAGCAAAAGTGAGCAAAGCTCAATAAAAAATAAAATCTCGAAAATAGAATGCGTTTTTCAGCATAGACAATGTGTGGGTAATATGTGTAACAAAGTAAATAATTACTGTTGACGTAATCACCAAATAAGAAAATCAAAGACCCCCTCCCCCTATAGTGCTTGCGTGACACTTAAACGGCTGCTAAACCCGAAATTCGAAAATTAAAAGTAGCTCTTGTCACACAGAGCTAAAGATGAAAGTACAAAGCGTGACGTGCAAATGTTTCTGGTCTGGTCTATGTTATGTAAATTTAACAGAGTAAAAATAAACATATTCGTTACCTAATTTAAAATAACAGCCCTTTAATAAATTCTAGATGGCGCTATTGTCAATCCCCAATAATCGCCTCGGCACTGGGTATAACAATGACGTCAGACACATTGTTCGAACATTCCAGATTACACACATCACTATCTCTATCGCAACTCACACATAAATCCTCAATTTCCGGACACACATCTGTGTCACACTTCATATGCTTTACCACATCGAAGTTTTGTAGGTCTGTCTTCGCGCAATAGTCTTTGATGGCTGAGCAGATTTCGGACACGTCATCGTTGTTTGATGATATCTTGAGGAGCTTCTCATCATCCCCGATCGTGAAAAGCACTTCTTCGCTGTTCATTGATGATATTTCGGGGTTCGATTGGGTCTTGAAATTGCTGGATTCTGCTAATTTTATATTGTATAAATTTGATTCACTCCCCATAATCGATGTAGATGACGTATTTAGCGTTGTGAGATTCTGAAACAAAATTATCAAGTTTATTTCATCACGGAACAATTTACAGTTCTGATGCAGTAAAAATTAATCAAAAGATAAATAGTTATCTTTAATTACATTAACCTGCTTATTATAATTCAAGCATAAAATATAAATTTTGACCAAATGTGTAACAACCATTTTAAAAACATATCTATAAAATAAAGCGATACAGATAAATGTATTGAACATAGATGGGTATTGGCCATCTATGTTCTGTGTTCTGTTTCATTACGAATTTGAGTTTAGGCTTATCGATTCTTGGACTTGTAAGACCCATAAATGAGCTCCCTTTTTTTTAAATCTACACGTTTCTGACATACGGAAATCACACTCAATAATAATGATTTTTAATAAATTATATTTATACTAATGAAAACCGGCTCGCTCGGGTGAAATTTGACTCATAATACACATCTAGGTGCAAAATGTGGGTAGATATTTCTGTAGTCATCGGTTCTCAAAGAATATTAAATATAGATTCGTATAGCATCGTTCGTTTGTTTAATAAATATAGTTAATAAAAACTGCAAAAGTTTTTACACAAATTATTTTAATTTTAGATCAACATTCAAAATAAACTAAGACTAACTAACAAAAATATTTATAAGGTTTACTCTCTGTAAATCTCTTTTTTTTACTAATTTTAAAAATAAAAAAATAAATTGTGTCGATAAACGATAACAACCATAGAAAAAGAATACTAATCATAATCATAAAAGTTTAAGTTTTAGTTCAAATGTCATTTAGTTTCGCATAGTGATTTATTCGTTTGGATCACACACATCATGCCGAAAATCGTAAGTATTTCATAAACTGTTTCGTTGGTCGTGTCTCTGTCTTCGTTTATTATTATTTGTTTGATGATACCTGATCATTTTGTTAACAGCCGAATCTCCTTGCATTTGGTAAACATTGTCAAAAAGGAGCCCCTTCTTGACTGCTTCTCGAAATGATTTGTAAATAATATTTTCATAAGTTCTAACATCTCTGAAGCAAGTCGGCCCCTTTGACCGGAAGAAGTAATAGCCGGAGATAATATCGTTCCCGATCAGAAAAGGAATAATTATACATTCTTGCAATTACTTTATCAGCCGCTGACTGAGATATTCGTGGTTGCCACTGTCCATGGATAAATCTGAAATGTGTCGGAATTTCGGTGTAACGATATTGTCGAGCACTTTCTTCTGTTCTGTTTAGTTTAAAAAATGCTAATAATGTTGATTTTCCAGCAGATCTAGCTGCTGCTTCATGAACGTTCTGATCTGTAAATACGACAGTTTGTTGGTTTTCCAAATGAACGCCTAACTGTATAATTGTGTGACTCATTCTGTGCATTGAAAATTCAAATATTCGCCAAACTGCTTCAGGGGCCGAAACATACCTGGTATCAATATAAGCCTTAATTTCATCATGGTGTTCATTGCTTAATGTCGATTGATCACTGGACTCTTATGGCGCTACTGTGATTTGTATCTTTGCTCGGTCATGACCTTTATAAATATATTTATTTATATATTTCACACTTTTGACGCTGAACAAATTTCAACATTTATGTGAGCATTAAATTTTTTACATAGATAGGGATTGTAGGGCACCACCCATCTGTTATCACACTCGAAATCCTTCTTTTTATTGTTCTTCCGTCGTCTCTTCTTCTTATTATACATAACCTCCATTTTGGGTACCATCTCTAGTTTCTTCGCAAAAATGTCTTTGGGTAGAGTTTTAAAACATTTAGAGGCAGTTCCATCATTTTTCATGCAAGGTGAATTCATATATCCAGGACCACATGGCCCATGGATCTTTTTTTTGAACACAGTCTGAAAAAAGTTCCCGGTCTTTATCTGGGTCAGGTATTTCTGCCCCACACAAATTTATCATAATCCACTGATTTGGTTTATCTTCATTTCTTAGAATAATAAGCATATGCGCATGTGGAAGCCCACGTTTCTGAAATTCAATGGTGTAAAACCACGCACTCGGTATTCCAAAAATGTGTTTCCTTGTAATGTCATCTAAAAGTTCCTCCAATTTAAGTTTAAAAATTCTGGCAATTAAATCGGGTCTGTAAAATGTTATAAATAAGTCTGGTTTACCATACTTGCTTGCATACAATTGCCATAGAATCCTGATAATTTTGCATCATGTGCCGAGGACTTCCCACATAAGTTGATGGCAATATTATCATTTTACCAATGCCTTGACCCATTTCTCTATGATTATTGTACAGGCTATCCATTAAATTGTTATAATTGTCAGCTCTGAGCTGTTTTTGATTCATTCGAAGAAACAATAATCGTTGAGATTCAATCCTAACATGACATTAAATGACATTTGAAACTTCAACTTTTATAGTTATGATTAGTATTCTTTTTTCTATGGTTGTTATCGTAATCGGCCAATCTCAGGTTTAAAGAAAAAACGCATAAACCTTCAAAGAGTATATCATAAAAAGTGACAAAACCAATATTTTGCTTCACACCAAAGATGGCGACATGCAGCGGTTTGTTTGTCAGTGCCATCGGAATTTATATTTAACGAAATTCTCCATAATCCGAATTTTGCGGATATATGTTGTCGACTCAAAATCAATATTTTTTTATGTTTTGTTATTCATATAAGGTTTCGATCGAGTCTACCGTACCCCTTGACGAAATTATTAATATAGATATATATGTATATTTAATTAAATTAATAACAAATTTAGAACAATAAAAAAAAGTTGTCATAGAATTACTTCTAATCTCTAATCAAACAAAAGTCGTATAAGATCTTAAGTATGCGTGAATGTATGGATGTGTGTGCGTATAATATTTGTATTTGGGAGTGTGGCTGAGAATTTATTAACGCCTATATATACCCTATATGCACAGGTTTCTTTACAAGGTCTTCTTCGCGTTGAGGTTGTCCGTTGAACACTTGCGTGTTCAATATTCGATAAATGATTCGGTGGAAATATTTTTGAAGAGAAAACTTCTTTAGCGGCGTATTCTACCACATAAATGATAGTACTTTTATACTGATAATTAAAGCAATTCGTGCAAAATTATTCCCTAACCATTCCAAAATATCAAAAATGCATGACGTTATTATTCAAGTTTTCACTTCTGCAGGCACTCCTGGAGTGCAACCCGTCGTTTTTTTTTATCTACCGATCGCTTGGTCACAACAGATGAAGTGGTAAAGAACACAACAAAGTTTACTTACGGCATCCTCTTGATAGCAACTGCCATCGCTTCTAGAGTGTTTATGTCTTTGCAGCGATTTCTTTTGCGATGTGTGTCCGTCTACGCATTCCTGAAATATACAATCATTTGATACATTTCAATATGACTACGATCGACTACATTAATCTATTTTACTTTCTTACTAAATCAGTCTCTACGAAAATACATGCCTGAATTTAATT